CGACAGACAGAGAGAGACAGAGAGAGCGAGAGAGAGAGAGCGAGAGAGAGAGATAGACAGGCAGACAGAGCGAGAGAGAGACAGACAGACAGAGAGAGAGCGACAGACAGACAGAACGAGAGAGAGACAGAGAGAGACAGACAGACAGACAGAGAGAGCGAAAGAGAGACAGAGAGAGGGACAGACAGACAGACAGAGCGAGAGAGAGAGCGAGAGAAAGACAGAGAGAGAGACAGGCAGACAGAGAGAGCGAGAGAGAGAGAGCGAGAGAGAGAGATAGACAGGCAGACAGAGCGAGAGAGAGACAGACAGACAGAGAGAGAGCGACAGACAGGCAGAACGAGAGAGAGACAGAGAGAGAGACAGACAGACAGACAGAGAGAGCGAAAGAGAGACAGAGAGAGGGACAGACAGACAGACAGAGCGAGAGAGAGAGCGAGAGAAAGACAGAGAGAGAGACAGGCAGACAGAGAGAGAGCGTCAGACAGAGAGAGAGCGACAGACAGACAGAGACAGAGAGAGAGAGAGAGAGCTGCTGCGACGACGAGGAGGACGAGTTATTAGCCGACGTCGAGGTGAAGGCAGCGTCAGCTCCCTTGCTCGTCAATGGAAAACTGCAGCCGAGGAACGCGCGGGGGCGTGCGTTGCATGCGTCGCCGCGCGAGCTTATCGAACGCCGTGACATCGACGACGCAGAGACCGAAGGCGCGAGCAATTCGAGCGATCGACCAGGGAAGAATGCCGATCGCCGAGCGTTCGCGCGCGGTGAGAGGAACGCCTTTGATCCGCGCCGTGCGCGCGATCTCGATCGAGAGCCAACGCACGCGAGGTCGACGTATAACGACCTGCTTCGATTAGCGTGCTCGCGGAGGATGAACCGGCGTGCGATCGCAGTTGCGGGACGAAATCGCGACCGAGAAAGGGGACGAGGCCACGCGCGTGCGCAGATTTATGCGGGAAATTCAGATTGCGGCGAGCGAATAAATCAGCGAGCACACCGCATGAAATCGAAAGTTGGTGCGGCGTAAGCGTCCGCGTCGCGGGAATAAGCGAGGGGAGCGAGTGCCGCGTAGAAGGGCGAAATAAGGGCTCGGCGATGCAAAAGAAGAAAGACCAGTCGATGGCCGTGGCCTCATCGATCAACGTCCTTAGCACACGGCGGAGTCAGCGTCTCGTCGATGACATTAATGAGAAAGCATCGGAGATGCTCCGCGGCGGGAAAGTCCTTACAGCTTTCCCGAGCGCCACGGCGAGCTCGCTTCTTTTTCGATGCCTGATGTCGAGGGCTAGCGAACCGGCGAGTCTCGGCGTCTCGTTGCAGGATCGCTCGATCGTAACGGTACAGGCGCAAGCAGCCTCGCAGGGCGAGCCTTCCGCCCGCGTCGGGCAGCGATTACGAGCGCCAAGAGTTCAACGGGGCCGAGCGTGCGTTCATCGGACGCGTGTCTCTCTCTCTCTCTCTCTCTCTCTCACTCGAGAAAGCACGTTGGTACGCGACAAGCAGCGCGTTTCCGGCCCGGGAGACCAACCTCGAGAGCCCCGGCGCGCGTTGGTATACAGCGCACACGCGTCCGGATACCCGCGCGACTTTCTCGTCTCCTAGACACACCTGTCACCCCCGCTTCCTCCAAGCGCTGATAGCGCGCGTCCGCCCCTTTATCCGCGCTCCTCGCTCGTCTGCCCATCGCCGACAATGGCGAAATCGCCGAAGCAACGCGCTCATCGGAGGATCGAAGACAATGCGGCTGTTTTCATATTCAGAACATCGAAGGCTGCTCGTGACTGCGACCCGCTTAGAAAACAATGAGATGCTGACGAGGACGAAAAGCCCGCCTTTCCAGCCGAAGGTCGCTCTTATATCGTATTCCGGTCGCGAGCGCGCTCGTAGAATGGAAGCGTCGCCCGCGTCGCGCGCGCGTTTCTTCGGGATTTCCGAATAAGCTGCGCGAGATCCGCAAAGCGTGGCTGTGGCGTAACAGGCCTGAGCATCGTCGGCGACGTTTCGGGCGAATCGCTGATGCGTCGCTTCAATCCCCTTGAATCCCCAGCAAGCGACGTACGCGCTTATAGGAAACGTGACATTGCGCGCGCGCAGTTTCGACGATCGAGGGAGACAGACGGCAAGACTCGGCGGGTGAGCTCGAGCGATCACGGTCGCCCGCATGATGCGCGTCCGCGCACCTCTTTATCAGGCTCGGGTGACGCTCGGTTTCGCAAGAGCCTCCCCGCGCGAGATCGTCGCGCACGCGACCGAGCAAGCTGCTCGCAAACGTGGAAGAGGGAGCGACAGATCGGAGACGCGGACGGGCGCGTACCTTGGCACTGTTGACGCTGACAGACTCGTGGCCGACGTAGAACACGGAGCTGTGGCTCTTCTCCTGGCCGAACCGCATCCTCGTGGTGCCTCACCGGGACGCTCTATCTTTCCGCTCTACTCCTGCGCAGAGGTGCGATGCTTCACCGGTTGATCCCGATACGGCTGGTCGTCCGGCCTCGAGAGATTCATCGTGGCGTTGCTCGATGCGTGGCTTATCGCGCACCCTCCACTCGCGCGCGTCCAGTGCGCCCGCTGCCGATCGATAAGCACACGGCTGGCTTGCAGCGGCGATCCCGCGGCGCGCGCTCAAATTGGCACTCGGCGAACGCCAAATACAGACGACGGCCACTTGACCGTCCGAAAGCGATGAGCCGTGTAGCCCACGCGAGTACGAGAAAGGAGCGGGACTCGCCGACGTGCGTGCGTGCGTGCGTGCGTGCGTGCGTGCGTGCGTGCGTGCGCGCGTGCGGCCAAGCCGCTGGTCCCCAGAAAACTGAAAAGCGCGCCGTGCGCGCCTTTAATCGTTCGCCGGCCGTACCGGAGCTCCCTCTCTTTCTTTTCCGCGCTCGCACGGCGCGGCACACGCGTGTCCCGTCCCCACCTCGCGGCTCTCGTTTATTCGTGCACTCCACCGGAGGCCACAGCTGCGCACCTGTCGTCGACGCCGCGGGCATGTTAATTCGAAGGGGGAGGGATATTGTCGACAATATTGGCGAGGGTGCACGACGCGGGCAACGAGAGACAACTATACTTTTCGCGAGCAAACAATTTTCGACGTTTTCCGTATGCGAGAGCAGTGACGACGCCAGCCGAGCGCGGCGATAACTCGAACGAGCAATATAACTTCGATTAAAATCGTAACGGCAAGACCTGTTCTAATTATTTGCAATCGTTATTATTCGAGCAACAAAATGAGAAAGGATAACTCGGTATTCTTAGCTCAACTGCAACCTAGTTACTCTGTCTCCTTAACGGTATGGCTTTGAATTTCCAAGTACCCCCTCCTTTTTTCTAATCTGATTCTGATAATTAATGCAACCCATGTATCATATCCAAACGAGTGTCACTTATCAGCTTGGCGATCTCGAAAATTTCCTCTCGACGCTCGTAATTTTCCTCGTCGAAATGAAAATCCAATCGTTTCGCAAAATGCGCGCATTGATTTTTTCATTCCTTCAGCGCGACGCCACTGAAATTGAAAATAGTTTTAATTAACGTTCTGCATTTTTCTACGATGCAAATTGAAGATAGTTGCGCGCGGGATTTGCCGACTTGGATGTTACATCAGAAACCGTATCTCGCAATACGGCCGATGATCGAGCCATACGTGACTTTCGTCATGCAAAAATCGTTTCGAACCACGTGTGAGTTGGAACGAGGCGCCACGTCAACGGTGTCTTCCACAACGCGAGAGCAAGACCAAGAGTGTTTTGCGCGCGCTGCAAGGAAGAGGAAAGAGTAGAAAGCCACGGCCAGTGCACCCGGATTAATTAGTCGTGCGCTACTCGTGCATTAATTCGCTATTCATCATGCGTAGCAAGCGGCGCGATCGGCAGGCGTAATTACAGCGCGCGCCGGTGCAACAAGAGGGGCAGATTTCACGCGAGGGAAATTTCGATGCGGTCGATGATAAAGACAGGAGAAAGACGCAATCGCTATCGAGTTTCAACTCGATATAATCAATTATACCTTACGACATCGCGTCAAATTTTACTTCCGTGAGCAGACTGCCGGACCAGTTAACACTGTATCATGAGAAGATGACAGGCGTGTTTTAAGTGGGCAAGATCTTTAATTTTCAAGAACAGATGATGTGCAGTTTATCTGTACATCATCTTCGATCGTCGTATACCAACAATATTTTTATTATCAATTTTGCAGGATCGATCATCAATCGGCTCTATTTTACACATCAATACACGTAGTTCAGTTTACCCAAGATCAATAAAAAAAAGTCACTGGCTTTCTGTAACAAAGTGGATGTCGTCGCATTTTCAGTAAAACGAATGTCCTTATAATATACAAAAATATTTATATTTTTTAGTCGATTTTCGATTATTTCGAAACAGTCACAAATCTTCCGGCTTTTAATCAAATTTTACAGACTTGACTGATTCAATAATTAGTCTTGATCATTAGATACAATGAAACGTAATGAATACAAATTATTTGGAAAGATTCATAGTCCGTTGCCCGGTAAACCTCAAACATAGCAATTAATATATATAATTGTGTAAATAAATTTGCTATACCTCACCCTTGTTTATTATTATTTCAAGTTGTAATTGTACAAATATTACTTGCTATTACTTTGTTTCGAATCAGCACGTTATTTACACTTATTTGACGGCTTAAATGCTCTCTTTCCCATTGTAAATACGAACCAAATAATCCCGCCACTGATGTACCGTGGCTATAGTGGTGCCACTGGTAGAATCAAGGTGAAGCTTCATAAGCGCTCACTACATCAACTATAAATATCAATTATTACTTGTTTTTTAGTTATATATTTTCTCTTCTTTTACATTATCGCGTACTTTCGTAGATTTTTAGTTCATGCGCGTACCTTATCTGCCTTTACGACGTGATAGGAAGTTTCGTTCAATTACCGATAAAGAAGTTGCCACGCAACTGGAAAAAAAGAGCAGCCGCTGGGAGGCGAAAGCTTCGCCATCGCGTCATGCCTGTCTCGTTTGGAGCGCGTGGTAGTCGCTCTCTCGTCCGTAGCCGCGTTTTTTCCTGTATAGCGCATCAGTTGCGAGGAAATGGCGTCTCAGAGGTGGAGTTCGTTTGGTGAAGTTTCCGAAATGATGAATGAATTCTGAGTTTCGCGATGAATTGCCGGGTAAACGTATGACCATTTGATTACGGTAAGTCTCGGCAACGTGCACGATTGATTTTTACCAGTGCCGACCGCGAAAATATCGTGAAATCGATACATTCCATTAACGCGCGCTTCGCATGTAAACAAACGCGACTCGCCAAAGTTCGTAGTGGACCGCTCGGATCCGCAATTTTTATCCGATTTTCGCGTAGTCTGCGTGTTTACAAACGCTCGCCACTTTTTCAAACGCTTCTTTACTTGTTTGTCCTTAGACAATTCAATGGTGATTCATTGCGAATAGTGAAAAGAACTGTACATTGTCAGAAATTACTTCCTAAATAGTCATTTGATCGTTAGATAATATTAAATCAATTATTGCGCAGAAAAAAAGTGGTGGAAATTTTTCTGCAACTTACATGATTTTTAGATGCATACCTCCTACAAATACCTTTTTTTGTACAGTAACAGTACAAATTGATGTTTGACAATGAATGAGGTGAGTGGTGGAAAACAAGAAATGGCTAGTACATCCGCATGGGATTCAATGATGAACCAACCAGTGACTACAATTCCATCGATGCATCACATGAATCCACCACTGACTCAAGATGCTAGCTCCCCAGCTACCCAAGTTATAGTTCCTACTCCTGTTAAATTGCAACCACCAATATTATCACCACCTCCCATAGGAGGCGAACACCTTGTGGTAATGCCTCATGTGCAGCAACCGGGATTAATGGTTCAAGTATGTTAAAAATCAAAACTGCAGTTTGATCTTTTCATTTATAAAATTGCAAATATGAATACGCCTATGAACTTCTAGGGCCCAGCTCCAACTGGTTATCCAGATGGAGAGCTATCATTGGAATTACAACAACAAGGCTGGAAAAAGTTTTGGAGTAAAAGGGAAAGTCGACCTTATTTTTGGAATAAATTAACTGGGGAATCATTGTGGGTTATGCCATCTTTGAAACCTCAGGTAATATATTAATGCATTCTTTATAACATTTTTTAAATAATTGGATAAACACTGATTGTCTCTAAATATTTCAAGTTTGATCCACTTACTGATCCACTTGGCATTGGTGTACCAACGATACCAGGTAATGGACAGATTCCTCCTGGAACACCAGGTGTTCCATTGAAACGTAGAGCATCAGAAGATGGAGCAGTAATGCCTACACCCAAGAAGTTTATTTTAGCGTAAGATTACAGTTTATTTAAATATTTAAATTCAATATCACATTAATTTACCATTGAATAAATTTTATTACAGAGGACCATGGGATCTGGAAGTTCCAACAAATGTTATAATCTATGAAAGAGCACCAACAAATCTCTTACATGTTCATCCAGAGGTAGAGGCACAAAGATGTGGCTTACTAGCAAAGCTTCGTCAATGTTATCAAGAATTATGCCACACGAGAGAATCTATCGATGCTCCTAAAGATTCGTTTAATCGCTGGCTGATGGAACGAAAAGTGATAGACATGGGAACAGATCCACTGTTACCAAGCCAGTGTTTTCCAGAAATTTCCATGTCGATGTATCGTGAAATAATGAACGACATCCCCATCAAGCTTGTGCGACCAAAGTTCACGGGTGACGCAAGAAAACAACTGTCACGTTATGCGGAGGCAGCGAAAAAAGTGATAGAATCGAGAGAGGCAACCCCAGAAAGTAGAAAAGTAGTTAAATGGAACGCCGAAGATACTTTCCAGTGGCTGAGACGAACAGTCGGTGCAACTTTCGACGATTTTCAAGACAGGCTGGCACATCTAAAACGTCAATGTCAGCCTCATCTGACGGAAACTGTGAAGTCTAGTGTAGAGGGTATTTGTTTAAAGATATATCATTTATCAACCGAATACGCTAAGAAAGTGAAGGATAAGAACGCGCAGATACTTAAGGATAGTAATTTAAGCGACGCGATACCCGTGGGTCCACCCCCAAGTACGCAACGCAAAGTTTGGTGCTACCCAGTGCAATTTTCTCTTCCAACGCCACGGCTTCCACAGGTAAACATAACTTTGAAACAACGTCAAATAGCGTCGACGGTTTGTTAATTAATGAATTATAGGTGGAGTACCTGCCCGAAAGGGAACAGACGATAATGCGCTATCACGGTGACACAATGTACATAAACAACATGCACCTGACTAAGCTGGAGCATCTGTATCGATACAACTGTTTCGACGATCGCAAGTTTGAGATGTTCTTACCGCGGGTCTGGAGTATGCTGAAACGGTACCAGACCTACCTCGGCAGTACGGAAAGTCAGGCGACGCAAATGGCACTGCCGGTGACAGTGTTCGAGTGCCTTCAGAGATCGTTCGGAGTCACTTTCGAGTGTTTCGCCTCGCCACTCAATTGTTACTTCCGTCAATATTGTTCGGCCTTCGCCGACACCGATTCCTACTTCGGTTCGAGAGGACCGTTTCTCGATTTCAGGCCTATCAGCGGTAGTTTTCAAGCGAATCCGCCCTATTGCGAAGAACTGATGGAGGCAATGGTTAATCACTTTGAAAGGTTGCTGGCTGACTCGACGGAACCCCTGTCGTTCGTTGTATTTTTACCTGAGTGGAGAGATCCAGCACCCAATGCGCTTCTCAAGCTTGAAGCGAGTCATTTCAAGAGAAAACAGGTCGTTGTGCCGGCCATGGAGCATGAGTATAGACACGGATTTCAACACGTCCTACCAAAGTACATATTAATAATTCATAACCGTCTTTCGTTGCTCGTTATATCGCCTAAATTTACTTTTACTATTTCCCCTGCTAAAACATTAGTCACATTCAAGCGGGAATATCATTCGAAGTTCTTCATTGTAATTGTCAACAAGACATTAAAAACAAAAATTATTATTGCACGTCATTACTGCAGCATTCACTCGCAAAAGAGATATTTTATTGTACTACACAATGATGTCGACCCCCAAGTACGCAACATAACTTTCTAAATTGTTTTTTTAAATTCACAGAGGTGAAGTAAACATCAGAGCAATCCATGGAACCCTCGTGGTTTGGCTACAAAACGCCGCAGGGAATGGACGTTGGGGACCAACGGAAGAAAGAGTCGAAGCTCTTTTGGAAGCTTGGAGGCCAGGTCGTGAGCGCGAACGCGATCGTCAAGAATTATTGTCACCGCCACGACAGACGCCGGCGCCCTCGCAAACACCGACGCCTCAACCAACAATCGCGTCACCCGTGCCGGTGAGCCCAGTTACAGCCACGATAGCACCAATGCCGATAAGCTCCGCGCCAATTACGGCTCCACCGAATACTACGATCACGACGCCGCCAACGATGATGACATCACACACCATTTGAGAAGAGGCCTCGAGTGTCACTAAGGCACTCGATAAGGACAAAGATAAAGACAAGGAAAAAACCTGCAACTAAATGTTTCGCAGACTGTAAATGTGTTCGGAGACACTATTTTTTCATAATGGGAGTCTGTTGAGTGATATTTCAAACGTGAATTTCTTTTACAAACGTTCGACTAATATAGGTTCAACCGTAACATCGCGTCGTTTACGGAAATAGATGATGATGTTCTCATATAGTAATTGATAGAGAATTTCGACTTCACGCGCCTAAAATTTGTCATCCAATGAAAACAAAAATGTTTATTGTTGCAGTTTTTCTTAAAATAATAGTGTTATTGTAATGTAAAGTCGATCGATGATAATCGAATTGTCACATAAGCTCTATGATTTTTTACAATGGCGACGACTATGACGACGTCAAAAATTTAAAATGTTTTGTTACTGCAATACCTTGAGTTATAGTATATATTCGATTCGATTTCAATGATTTACAAAAATAGATAGATACTTCTGGTCACAAAAAAACTAAATATATTTTCCTATACTTCCGTACTATTGAAAAGGTGAATGCATTTTTTTTGTGTATAAAATTAAATTTTTGAGAAATATTTATCGTAAAGAAGTACGAAAGCTATAATGCACCTAGTTTTTATAAAGCACCAAGAATGACCAAAATTGAATATTTACTTTAAAATACAGATGTACTATGAATTTGTGTCATAAAGTGAATTCACCTTGAAGTCATTTTGAATTTAATTAGGAAGTGCCGTAAAAGTGATGATTTCTAATATCTATTTCATGCAAAACGTTGAAGCGCATATCATAGTTATTGTCGAGGATCGATATATTCACCTCAGCACAAAATTTTTATGTAACAGATTTTGAAATAGCATATATGTAAATAATGCAATGTTATCTTGAAAAAAATTTCATTTATCAATTAATTTTAGACTTGATAGTAACTTCATATTCATTATGCAAAGCACATCTGCTTTTAAAATACATATTTTGCTTTAATATAGAATAAAATATATATCTTTAAAAAATAGAGAAGCTATATACAACTTATAAGAGTGCAAATTACGAACTTTAAAATCTCTTATAGGTTTTGTACATTTTTATTAGGGTGATATGTTGTAAATATATAAAGTACAGTGTAAATATAAAAACAATATGTATTGTACTAACATCTCGTGTTTTCATGATTTTTTATTAAGTTCATTTTCTTTTTAATTTTGTATTTATTTATCCATTTGACATTTTCTTTCATTTGCAATTGTTTCATTTTTTCTATCAATAGAAAACACAAATAAAAGTGGCATATTCTTAAAATTGTTATTTGTCTCGTACATTATCACAACATAAAATATTTGGAAAAACGAAAAATTAGTATAGAGTAATCGAATTTCCGCGAACAAATCAAATTTTTAAATTAATTTTTATTTCACTTCTGAATTGTATTAGTTTTAATTTGCTACAAATACCGCGTTAAAAGTAACTTCAATCGTCAATTTAATCTATATCGGGGTTTTCCCGAACCTCTTGAATCAGAAATTGTTAAAAGTAATAGAAGTGTCTTTCCCGAACACGTTAAAAGTACCAGGATGTTGACAATTTTCTAGAAATTTTAAACAAAAGATCTCAAACCAATAAGGACCAACGGAACTACGAATTATTACAATGAAAAGGCATGTAATTTTAAAAAGGTAACATTTACTATTGAAAAATAATATTTTATTTAAATAACATTGATTTTATTTATTAACTTTTATATAATTCTGTCGATTAATTGGACAGCTTCGTTTTTCTTCCAAAGTAAAGTGTCAATCTTTTTTTCTTTAGCATCGCCTATCAAATTTTTAAGTACTATTCTTATTTGTCGAAGATCAAATAAACAATGATTATTTCCAAGGCACCATTCATCAAAACTCCTCACAGTCACATTATTTATCACAGAGTTAATGCGTTTTTCAGCAATAAAAGATATTAATTCATAAAACTGAATATAATTCATTCCAAAGGTTGCTTTGAGCATAGTTTGGCAATGCATAGCCCAGTCATCCATGTCTTTACAATCTTCAATTTCATGCATTACTGCTGTCAATTCCTTGTGTAATGATTTCCATACATTTAATATATTACAGCCATTTATCCAGTTATGATTTATTGATATTGTATCTTCCTGAAATTAAATAATGACTTAATTCCTGGCAGAATATAAAATATTTAAAATAATATAAATTCTGTTAATAAATTAAATTATAAGATCACTACCAAATTCCAAACTTGATGGTGCCATCCTGAAGGTACAAATATTATTTGACCTGTATCCTGAATTATCTCAATTCCGTTTGATAATTCATTGTTCATGTCATCATACTTGGGCTTATTATTCAAATCTTCTGAAGTAATATCGTATAATAAATCTCCATTTTTATCACAAAGATAATTTTCTTGTCCAGGTGGAAATAATAACCAGCGTTTTTTTCCAATAACATTAGCTGACCAACTGTATGATGTAAAGACATCAACATGAAATGGGGTCCTGAAGATCAAATTTTAAATATTAGTTGGAGAAAAATATGAGAAAAATAGGTTTAGAATTCAATAACTGACCATGATCCTTTCGGTCCCATATAGACAAACATATAATCATCATTTAAATTTGGATGACCAATGTAATATTCATTCAACCAGTCTGAAGCAAAATACTGAGGTACATTGTAAATTTGTAAGTTTGAATTAGATTTAATACAATGCCAGTCTTTCAAATACAACAGATGCATCTTATTGGAGTAATTGTGATTGCGATAGTCAACCCAGTAGTTAATGTAAGCTTTAATTGACATGTTATTTTTACATTGAGCATTATAATACCTTTTATTACAATCAGCGATAGGAACTTGAGAGTCACCTAAAAAATAATGAATAATAAAAAACGAATAAATAAATAAGTATAAACTACATTGTAAATTTTTTTTGAAGTACAATGAAAAAAAATTCATTTACCAAAACACTCTTTCAACCATCCAAAATTTGGCGCATTATTTTTGCTCCAATTTCGTCTGCTCGGCCAACTTTCTGTTATTTCGCAATCAAAGATGCAAGGTCTATTTTGAATTAAAAATTTTTCAAAAAATTCGTTGTAAGATATGGAAGGGCTTGTTTTCGGGATGGTATTAACATTTTGTTGAAATTGAAGCTCAATTTTGTCATGGTTTATTTCTATAAATGAAGTCCTGTAAATCAGTGTATCATAGGTTATTACAACAATTTCTCGAATATCATTTAATTACTCCTATAAATGTAAAATACTTACATTTTAAAACACAAAGTCGAATTCTTGCAGATATTAAATTATAAACAAAAATAAAAACGAGAAATAAAAACATGAATAAATAACAAAAAATTATAAAGGTCTAGTTATAAGTTACTTCATGCATCCATGTTTGAATACAACTATAGAATAAAAAGTAGGGGTAAAATGAAAACTAACAGTAAATCATTGAAAAAAATATAATAACCCAATAAAACCACTTAGAAAGTCATATATACTATCTTTTATTAAAAAATCACAAATATCATGATACAAAATATAAATTTCGAATATAAAACAAACATAAATTCAACAATCACTTATACTTCTACAATAATATCAAATAATTCAATATTTTTGTTTCTTTGTAAAATTAATATTGCTCAAACGCATAATATTAAAATTATAATGAACTGTCAATATGCCTCATTATCAAAGTTTTGAGTTTTTCATAGCTTGCTCAACTACTCCATTTTCGATAAAATTTTTTATTTCTTTTTGACTGTATTTGAACTCACTTAATATTTGAACCGAATGTTCACCAACATGTATGTTAGGACTTTGAATAGAACATGATATACCAGGTGTTCGAGAAAGACGTGGAGCTGGATTTGGAATTAACAGATCATCTTTTCCCATGGCAAAACTATTTTGAGAACGATTATGTACATGAGACGCGACGTTATCAAACGTTAAAACTGGTGTTACACAAGCATCAGAACCATCAAATATTTCACACCACTCTTTTTGAGTTTTGGTTTGGAAAATTTCAGTCAATTTTTCTCGACCTTTTTCGAAGTCGGCGAAATGTGGTAAATCATCTTCAGATAATTCCAATTTTTCTAACAGTACAGCATAAAATTGTGATTCTAATGCTCCTACAGCCATGTATTGCCCATCTTTAGTTTCATATGTATCGTAAAAATGTGCTCCAGTATCCAATCTAAATATCATTCCTTAATTAATTTAGTATTATATTGATAATAATTGTTTTATATCTATTATTGGAATTTCCATATAAGCTCACATATTCTTTCCTCTTGGTTGACCCCAAAGCCAAGGTAGTTTTAATGATTTGTAAAACCAACTTCCTAGATAGGCAGCCCCTTCAACCATAGATGTATCTATTATTTGCCCTTTTTGACTAGTGTTTCTTTCATACAGAGCCATAACAATACCAAATGCACACATTAGCCCACCACCTCCAAAGTCAGCAGCGAAATTGACAGGTGGTGTAGGTTTCTCTTTATATCTTCCAAATAGAGATAATAAACCTGTAGTGAGCATTTACTTATATATTTATTACAATTGCTATAAATTAGTTCCAAACCAATTTCATACCTGATAAGCCTACATAATTAATATCATGACCAGCCATTTTTGCATAAGGACCATCTTGGCCAAAACCAGTTATTCTAGCATAAATTAACTTTTTATTAGTAGCCATAAGATCTGATGGACCTAGCTTTAATTTTTCCATTACACCTGTGAATAAAAATGAGATAAAATAACAATTTAATTTTTTTACAATCCAATACATTTCCAATCAAATTTCTGTAAAATGCTGACCTTTTCTATAGGGATCAATGACAACATCACACTGGTTACACAGTCTTTTAAATATATCAACACCTTTTGTAGATTTTAAATTTATTGCTATTGATCTTTTACCATTTCCTAAAGAATCAAGTTGAGCAGTTCCAGCCTACAACAAAAATTTTAATGATTAGTTAGGAAATGAACAGGATTAATTCATTTTTTTATTATCCTTACTTTGTCAATTCTTATGACTGATGCTCCAAAATCAGCTAAAACCATACCACAAAAAGGAGCAGGTGCAAGTCCTGCTAATTCTAAAACTTTTACTCCCTTTAAAGCCATTACAGTTATTAGGATAGATAATGCTTGAATAAAATGAAATTTGTCACTGATTATCTATTATTATTATTTTCTACTAATAATGAATTAGTATATAGTTTACATTAAACTTAAGAATCCTCAAAAAAGTAAAGTAAATTAAAAATTTTATGTCGCAACTTTAGAGTATAGTATTGTATTTAGAGCATAGCTGTAGTTATATTTCTTATCAGTGCATCCAAGTAATGGAGCACAATACAACTGTTAGAAATACGCCAAGTCATTGGTCATCTTCTCCATTGCAAAATGACAACAGAAAATAATCGGCACTCCGTCAGACAGTTTTATCTCTTTGATTTATTAAGTTCACAAGTAAAACAAGTTAGTTTGAAATGACATTTGATTTATATGGACAAAAATCGTTTCAAATTTCTCATTGGCTTGAATCTAACATTCTAACCATGGAGACTACATACAGGAAACGAAACGCAATGTATAAGAATTCTCGAGCCTATGCGTTTCGTTTCCTGTATGTAGTCTCCATGCTAACTACTACTACTACTATACTATACATATGAATGAATAATCGAGATATTGTATAGTTCAGTAGACTAAACGTGCAGATATTTATTAGTCTCTACGTTTTGAGTTTATTTTTTTTTCTTTTTTGAATAGGTAAAGTGAAATACACGTAATATATAAAATAATGATCTGCCAAAAATGTTGCTGCGTTTGCAAATGTAAAAGTACCAAATACAAATGTCCAAAGTGTTTTCAATCATAGTGAGTTTACATCTGAGTTTTTATGTTACATTTTTAACATTACATAAAAATTATTCGTAAAATCAATAAAATTTAAATAACCTTATATGTCAATTAAAGCTTACATTATACAAAATATGAAGTAGTGTTATTTCACATTCTAGTATTTAATGGAATAACCTTCATTTTAATGTACAATTTTTGTTTTCAGTTGTTCCGTAACTTGCTGTACAAAACATAAAGAGAGTTGTGTAGAAAAATCTGAACACAAAAGTGATGAAATAATTGAAAATAACAAGTCTACTACTCACTATGGCTTTCCTACAGAAGATACCGTTCCTATTGAGAAACTTGAACAACTTCGTTACAGTGATGAAATAAAAAATTGTTTAAAAAATCCGCAAGTTAGAGATATTATTAAAGGTGTTACAAGTAGTAAAGATCCCACAGAGGCCATAGCTAAAGCTATGACGGAGCCTATTTTTGTTGAGCTTGCTGATGCTTGCCTAAAAATTGTTGAACCACCGGATAATGAAAAACCTTGTTAGCAGGCCATACAGTCGAAAATTATTTTCAACTCAAATATTTGACAATGTGATAATACATACATAATTAATCTTTTTGTAAATATAGAATGAATTGTTTTACATAATTTTAAATTAAATATAATATTAGATTGTATTGAAAGATATAATGTAATTGTAAAGATTATCACGAAGTTGTTGTCGCATTCCATCCTAAAACATCGTGACATTTACGTACATGATAAACAACCATCTTTGGTTATTTTTCTACAAGCTCAATTAAAATTATATTGAAAGATGTGACAGCAATGTTAAGTAAATAGTCTATCTTAAAATTTATTTTAAGCAGTTTTGAAATTGCAAAGTATTACATGAATTCATTAGTGAAGAAGTTTTCAGCTCGAAGTGGATCAATGGGTTTGAAATAATTATAGACAATGTTTATACTTGGTATTTTTCAATCCATATATATTCTGGTACCTACACATGTTTTAATTAATAATTATTCTATTCTTATTCATCTACTTGTGCGGTAAATTATAAATTGATTGTTCTTTTTTAGGAACCACTTTAATGAATTATTTACTTCATGTAATCCAGATATAATGTCTGCTCCATACTTAGATATTAATACTGGTTTTTTGTATGGTTCATGCCAAACTTGAACTTGATTATTATTCCTTTGATAATCTTATTTAATTTATCAGGATTAGAATACTGAATATCTGTAAAAACTTATCACGTCATAGCAATGACCGATTTTATGGCCCTTGAAAATACATTTATTTTTGTAAAGAGAATTACATAAATTTTTATATGAGTACAATCAAGATATTTACAGAAAATACATATACAGCAATAGTTATTGGTCTAGTTGGATCAACTTGCTTTGTATACTACACTACTTACTTAAAAGAAAAAGTTGAATCTGGATAAGTTGTTCTAAGTTCAGTAGCAACTAACCACATAATAACAGATGGTTTATCTTTACCTCTTTGGATAAGTTCCAATAAAGACTATTTTACAAACAAAGTTGAAGAAAGTTTTTCAGATCGACATTCATCAATTATAAGAAATTCCAATCAAATAAAAATAATTTCCTTAATAAATGTTATTTTATTAAATGGTGAATAACATTTCAGTTAATATTTCCAATGAAAGGTGAAGAGCATATTTATAAGTAATATCTAGTACTTCATCGTATGGATAATGAATACTATTAAAGATTAAATCTAATCCTCTCCTTACAGTATCTTCATATCTTCCAGCTAAAGCCAGGAAAATATAGATTTTTTATTTATGAACAATAATGCACTCCATATCTTGTCATAAAAACCTATTGAAAGTCTATGGATATCAGACTTTTCGTCTTTCACTAATGTAATTTTGACCTAGAATGTTCGAATTTTTTGTTGTTTCTTGTTGAAAGACCATAATTCAAATACTGATTTGAATTACTTCAGATATGTAAAAGTATCCAAGTATCTAGTTTCTTCATTTATGCTACATGGCCACCACAATTTTAGTCATGTTAAATGTAATGTGCCTTGAAATTATTAAGTTAACCATTTGTAAATAATTAATTTTCAACATAAAAAAAGACTCATTAGAATCTCTTATTTCAATGATGTAGTTATAATAACACCACTATACTCTAACTCTGTCAAGGCTGTGATATAATTTTAATAAACCCTAAGGGCTTTCTATACAACAAAACGTCTTCAAAGTTGAAAAAAATAGATTTATATGAATCGATTATCTTGGTTCTCTCAAGAGGAATGTACTTATGAATAACTACATTAATTGAATAAAATCAAAAACATAATTTTTTAATTAAGTAGTTCCAAAATTAAATTTCATGTTAACAATTTTGCTTTGAGGTACACAAATTTTGAAATTATTTATTGCAATCGTTACACTATTTTTTCTTCATACAAATCTTGGGATATTGATTTTGTTTTTATAGGTAAATGTTCAAATTCATAAGTAATGTGTAAATCCTGTTTAGTCACTAATCAAATACATATTTATGGAAAAAGTCACATTGAGCAAGAAGTGAAATCACTATTTGTGCTGAATAATTAATTGATTCAAAGCTCAAGAAACTTCTTTGATAGTTCCAAGAAGCAGATCTATAAAATGATTTTTCATACCAAACTAGACCAATGTAAAACTTGATAAATTGTAATATCATTATATGTTGAAGGTACTGGCATTTGCATAACATTTTTCACCCATTAGTTAATAAATTTTGTTTATTTGACAACTCAAATAAAACACTTAAATACAGTATACTTAATAAGCTGTTGGAATACGTAATTTTTATATGTCCTTTCCGAATACATTTTACGCTTACTATCAACGTTTTCTGACATAATTCGAATCGAACTACCGGTATTCTACTTTGTATTGTGTACTTACCTGCCTGTATACATGTTTGTATACAACATACACGTATATAAGCACATAATGTATGTTTCAATATCTACATTCATACAGATATGAAAATAATTACTTTGCATTTATTTGCAATATGAACATGCGCACAAGGTTATTCCAATTAATATCAGTGCGCAAACGCAAATTCATATTTAATTTTTAAATAATTATTTAATGAACAAATAAAAATATTTACTACAAAATAAAGTTAATATAAGACAATATTATAGAAGATAAATAGTTTTATTAAGTAATTCAATTTTACAGCTTAATAATTTTAGAAATACATTGTCAGAGCATTATAGTTTCACTTAAATTCCATACAAAACGTCTACAGTAAAATATTTTACAAACATCGCTTACAAAAATAAAGTACTAATTCATCTCAAAATTAAATCGCAGTATCAAGGCATTTACGTATAGCTTATCATCTCTTCAATTTCATTTATACAAAGATTCTTGTTTCGCCTCGAAAAGCTTCAATCAATAAATTTAGTAATAAAGCGCTTTCATAGTGTGCGTACGGAATCAGCTTTTATCTTATCTTGATTAAGCTAATGATGATAATTCTGCGATATGTAATTTGCAATATTATTTAAAGACCTTTCAGAGCCATTGTTAAAAGTCAACGAATGATATCTCCGTCGGATATGATGCGCAACCATTTTTGGCTGTCTATCTCTCGTAAAAACTCCTTTCTTGTTACCACCAACTCTTGTGTAAGCTAAAGTAAAACGATAATTTTTTCATGAGTGAAAATAATTCATTGCCCTTACTTTATTAATTTTCTTACTTTGAGCAGTTCTGAAGTCAGCAAAGTTCCAAATAAATTCACCGATAAAGAAACCTTGCTCCCTCAACTGATCAAAAGCCTTGAAGTGATTGGACATGATTTGTATTTGATATTCCTCGCTCCAGATGTATTCTGGCAACTGGAAAAGTTTGACATTCAGATAATCGTAATTGGATGCATGCCGGAAAAAATAATTGATTAAAATTGACCTCGTGTAAACCGGGTATCGTGTCGGCACCATACTCCGTCATTATCACCGGTTTGTTATACTTGTTGTGCCACTTTTGAGCTTCCGTCACGACGTTCTTCGTTATTGTATCGATCCGTCCAGGATTCGAGTACCAGGCGTGATACCTGTTGAAGCTGATAATATCAATGTAATTGCCGGCATAGTCATCCTAAAAAAGAGCCGTGTCGGTAATTACTCATTGTATATCGGTTTCGTCAAACAATACAATTTGCAAGAGAAATTCCACTGGGTTAACTAAAAGTCGGATTGAATCTAAATTAATTGATCGCACTCACATCGGGCTTGGTAGCAATGGCCATCGTAATCGGACGCGTTGGGTCGACCTGCTTGGTGTGACGCGCGATCTGCTTGAAATATGGACCCGCCTCGGAATACCTTGTCCTAGGCTCGTTGGCTATCGACCACATTATCACCGAGGGTCGATTCTTGTCGCGTCTGATCAATTCCGAGAGCGAGTCCTGGTGACGACGCATCAGGGCTAGTGAGTAGTTTTCCGTGTCGACCGATGGACACTCGTCGATCACGAGAAATCCGAGTCTTATGAAAAGTTCAAATTGAAAAGTTGAATTACTTCTTCATTACTTCTATCACTGTTTCTTCATTTCGTATTTTAATATTTTTATTAAAAGCTTGTAAGTCAGTCAAAACAGCTCAGGAACTTTTACAAAGACTTAGAAGGTGTTTCCGACGCGGAAAAATCATTAAATGAGAATAGAATTGTTCGGTATATATACCTGTCAGCGAGATCTAGAACTTCGTCGCTGTAAGGGTAGTGACTGGTTCTGTAGGCATTGGCACCGATCCACTTGAGCAGCTCGTAGTCTCGCGCAACCGTAGGCAAATCAAGTCCACGTCCCCTTATCGCTGAATCCTCGTGTCTACCGAATCCGTAGAGGTATGTCGGTTTGTCATTGATCAACAACGAGCTTTCGGTCCACTTCAAGCTTCTAATACCAAAGGGCAGTCTGTAGATGTCTTTGACGTCGTTGGACGCACTGAGTATGATCTATTTTGAAATCGGATTAATCGTTTCGCAGACGATTGGCTCGAGAAGGGGCTGTCTAACCTCCAGAGAATAAAGATAGCCGGGCTCGTCGCTAAGAGATCTGGGCCACCACAGCTTCGGCGAGTGGACTTTGACGACGCCCTCCTTGCCGTCGAGCACGGACTTTGCCACGCGATTGCCATGGTTGTCCACGAGATTTACGTCGCACGAGTAGTTCTCACTGGATCTTAGCCCCGCCACGTCAACCTTGTAGTTAACCAGGCCGATATTGTTAATCACTTCCGTAGTGACGGTTATGTCCTCTATGTACACGTTGGGCTTGGCGTGCAGCAAAACAGGCCTGAAACTCGAGCCCACGTTGACCGCGAGCGTGAAAGAGCATAATGAAGCTTGTTCAGCTATACGTGCCTGTGGATACCGGCGTAGTTGAAGAAATCAAAGCTGTAGGTTTGTACCTTGATCGTACCGTTGTCCGACTCCACGTCGGCAATCCGCCCTTGCGGCACGCTCGTCTGCACGAGCACGTTGTCCACGGCTACTGTCAAGCGATTCTTGCCGCCGTACAGCACCTTCGACGTCACTTCGATTTCGAACGGCAGATGGCCCATTTCGTGGCTGGCCATGTAGTCACCGTTCAGCCACTGTATACATGTCAGATGCATTGGAATTTCATGCAATTGGCTGTTGGCTTCGATTCAGTTAATATCGGCTATGTACTTGTCAAAGTTTACAGTTTTCCTGTTATGTACTCATGAACAACTTACTATATTACGGCCACATTCGCTAAATTCTGCGTATTCAGGGACAAAGCGAAAACACTACCTTGATTACGATTGAATATTCGATTCGCGTTATCAGAATTACAAGTTCAACTACCAAGTACATTCGTAACGGTAATCTGCTATGCTGATCGATTGCCGTAACAAGATTGCATTTGTGAACTCACACGCTCTTCCGTACATTTAATCGAATTCCACTCTAATCGCCGAAATTGGCGTCTCGGTTTGGTAACCAGAGCACACGTTTTCGATCAAATGCACGTTCGTTCCACAATATGATATGGATAAGGTATGGATATGGTATGGATATGGTATGAATATGGATATGGTATAGATATGGATATGGTATGGATATGGTATGGGCGTGGTTTGGATATGGATATGATATTAATATCGATAGGAATATGGTTTTTGATATGGATTTTGGTATGGATATGGATATGGATATCCATATAAGATAAAGATAAAGATAAAGATAGGGAATGTGGGGTGGGAGATCGATAGATCGATAGATCGTCAGTTCAAGTAACGTGAGTTCGAAAGTTGGGATAGAGATAAAGTTGGGATGGGATCGAAGGTTCGAGAATTCGAGAGTTGGGATTGAGAGAGCAAGAGTTCGAACCCTCTAACTCTTGATTTCTCGATCCTCGAACTCTCGAACTCTTGCTCTCTCAATCCAACGTTCAAATTCCCTCGATCTCTTGATTTCTCAATCCCAACCAACCATTCTTGCTCTCTCAATCCCAACTCTCCAAGTGAAAAGAATTATTTATACCTTTAAAAGTGAAATTCCCCATTAAATAGAATATACTATTAAAATATTTATATATTCAAGTGGCATGCGAAAATACCTTTGAGATAGCAAAGATTTTTTGTTACTATAAATTTAAGTGGAAATTGTGATTTTTCTCTTCTTATAAACTAATTTTTTTTATAAATTACATAAAATGGGTCTAAAATTATATGGGATTCATACTAAAAATACGAAATTTCAATAAATATTAATTTTCATATTTTATTGTGCAAATTGGGCAGGATAGACGATATTCAATGAAATTCTGATGAAAGAATCAGAATGTAGAGAAAAAAATACTTAAAAAAAAATTCTACCATATTTAGAAGTGGTGTAAATTAATTATGCAACTAAGGTAGCTCGAAAGCCTCGAAGCCGTGAGGATCATTTCCCTCAGCCCCATCACCATCACTGTCGTGGCGGGCGCACGCGACCGCGCGGCGCGCTCCAATTGTTACAATTAACTTTGCTTATAGAAATGGAAATCCTGCGTAGCTTAAAAAAATTCAGCGTATAGAATCAAATTAATCATATTTAATCAAAATCAGCAATTAAATTTGAAAAAAGTTATGTACAAGACAGTTATGCATTAAAAACCAAAATAATAATATCTTGGCTCCTAATTATCGTAGAAATATTCTTTCAATTACCAATCGAATGAATTTTATTAGATTACAATATGTTTATTGCTTCATTGTTAAATTCTATTTTAAAAATAAGCAATTTTAGTCTTTCGTCTTTTTCTCGGAAACTAATTATCGAAAAATTATCAAGTTTTTTCTGCCGATAGATTTCATCGTCCTTCTTAGGTTATATTTGGTCTTTTTTTCGAAATCTGGTCAGGATGGCCGCGGTACACCGTCAAAGTTGAAAATTTATCACGTTGTAACTCGTAAACAATTAACTTTCGAAAAATCGGACCTGTTTCCTATTATACATTATTAAAGATGTATCGACCCTGAAAGTTTATACAAAATTTATTGATAATTAAAGAAGATATAAGCGTTTGTTTTTTTTTTTTTTCAATCTTCGAAACAACCCAACATATTGTTATTAATAATAAAAATTCAATTTTCGAACATGCTTATCCTTATGTAGAATTATCTCAGGAATTGAATTCCGTTGAGCTTATATCGATAGGATAATTAGGAAAAAAGTTATAAGCGAATAACTAAAAAAAGTGCCTTTATTTGCAATAAATCGTTAATAAAATAATGTTCCGGAAACTTTTAGAAATCAAAACTATTTTTCTCATTATCTACATGTTATTCCGCGTCGAAATAAAAAAAAATCTTGCTGTTCGCAAAAAATATAGATCAATATACTAGAATGACCGGACTAAAGAGTTCGCGGGATCGAGAGGGCAAGAGTTCATGGATTGAGAGAGCAAGAGTTCGAGGGGTTGGGATCAAGAATTCGAGGGGGTCGAGAGATCGAGAGACCGGGGAGATCGAGAGAGAAAGAGAGAGAGAATGATAAGTTATATTATTTCATGGTAATTTGAATGTAGAATAAAAGATAGTAAAAGCCTTCGTTCAGTGGTTATTTAATGGACGTGAAATCATTGTTCATATCAATATAGCATTGCTGAGAAGCAATATGTCGCATTGAAAATTGAGACTTGTAAATTTTGAAATTTCCGTTCACTGTGAACGATCCAAACTTCAGACTCATGATAAAAGATGGTTTTGACACGTATAGAAATGACAGAAAAACCACTTCAATGTTTCCGAAACGTTACAAGTTCGTATACTTACGAGTTAGTTCATCCAGTCGGTCGAGGCTGAATAGTGAAACTCACCACTTGCGCGTAGTAATTGACGGAGCCGAACCACAGGAAAACCCGGCGGTCGGACCAGGCGGCCGGCGCGAAGAAAGTTCTCTCGTACCAGACCGGGCCCACGTGGTCGCGCAGCTCGCTGCTCGTCGTGATGTCATTGTACGACGATGGCACCGGCATTTGCGTTGTTTTTCCGGCCTGCGCAATATCATACAACACCACTCGTCATTCGCCTCTGTCGCGAGCACAAACGGCGACCGAACCTTGGACAGTTCCTGCGCGTACCACGCGCGAGCGTGTCCTTGCTGCGGGTCGTCCGCCGCAGGCACCAGGAACTCCCAAAATCCATCCAGAGACTTTACCTGCGACATTCAAATGCTTTCATTTCTGTCGTCTTTTTTCTTTTTTTTTTCTTTCATTTCTGTGCGCAACGGAAATTTACTTTGCCGTCACCCATTCGCGTTTCTTTTAGTTTCATGCTCCATTTAAATAAATTAGAATAACAATCGCTGATTAGCGAGCCAGACTGTCGAGACATTCACTCATCGTGGAGTTTCATTAGAGTTTATTACATTAAGGGTAGATCATCACCTCAACTGATCCGGAATCATTCACACGTGATCTGTTGATTGGTTTTCACACTGAAGCTTGATATGTTAGATGTGTTAAAATAGATTGTACATTTTTTCTTTATCAGTGTCTGCCCAACTTTAGACGTATGTACACTACGACACAATGGCGATGAATCACTCTATGTGTATATGTTTACGACAGCTATAAAGCTTTCTGAAAAAAACATTCCGCTTATCTTGGATAAATATGCGCGTGTGCGCGTGTGTGTGTGTGTGTGTGTATATGTGGATTTAGATACGTCTCATATAGCTGTTACGCGATCTTTCATGTGCGTTTTTTGAAACCACTGACACGAACTGTTGAACTTTCTTTTCGTGAATCTACGTCAGCACCTTATTCAAAATATCCATATCGATTTTTCATGTGGAAATCTATGTGGGGATTACATTTGGATTTCCACAATCTTGAATATGATGCTGTATACAATTTTTTATATGTATAAAATAATGATATTAACAACGAATTGAGTGATTCAAAAGAAATAGTAAACATCAGTGACTTAGAATAGATTACAAAAATTTTTAATTTAAAAACACTGTAAAATTAAATAAGATTTCAATTTCGTAACGACTGTCGTTTATACGCAAAGCTTAACAAAAGCTTAAATAATCTAAGACTAAATATTGCAAGCCGCTAAAAATATATTATTTATTATTTCTTATTTTGAATCATTTTTGAATTTGCATTTCGGCTTTCTAGACAATTGTTGCTGTAGTTAAAATTAAGTGAAATTCCATGAGCTACAAAATATCATTCGAATACAGTATTTTGCTCATACACGTATTTGTATAGTAAATGGAGAATATTGTATATTACTGAATATTGTAAAAAAATTGATAATTATAATAAATGAGCATGTTAATTTACTCCTTCGTTTTATTCTATAATTTGTAATATTCACTTGAAAACCTTACGAAAATTCCATATTGATATTTCAATAGGATCATATAACACATGATACGGGGTCCAGATATATAGATTTCAAATAGCAAAACTAACATTTCAACTACGAAACTGTGCTTGTGACGCACGTGCAGTATTTTTATGTGTAACAACAGTGACACATAAGAAACATAACATACGGCATAACTTATTTTCGAAATACATATTTATGTGTAGGAAGGAAAACAAATGAAATAAATAAAGAACCGTCGTACAGGCGTACAACAAAATGGATTGACAGATTGGCATCCCGGCGACCCCGCGCACACAACATACGTGTAATACAAAAGAAAACCGCGCCTGTGCGAAAGCCCGATCTTATCCAGTTCTAATCCCTACGCCGAGCAAAACTCACACCTACCTCTCTCGTTTCGCTCTCCCTTGGATAAAGTAGCCCGGGTAACGCAAGAAGCGGCGGCTCGACGCTCGCGAGCCCCACGACTTCGAGGACCATACCGATCACGTTGAAGAACCATTGGAAGGTGAACATTATCACCGTGACAAACAATGCGCACAACGCTCCACGTTCGTATTGAGATCGCAGGCTTCTCGGGCTTTTCAAAAAGACACGTACACAGTACGCACTGACTAGCGAGAATCCACTCCACGCGCACAAGGCGCACTGACACGCTTTTTTCCGCGCGAGCGTACACAAACACGTATCACCGGCGCCGTCGTCGCCGTGCGCGATGGGTGCTGAAGAACGAATCCGTTGACGAATATTGTCGAAGTGGGGGATTCGTTTTGACGCACGCACGCGCGTTCACCCTGCGTACCGTGCAACAAAGGGATATCGAGAAATCTATATATATAATGCGCGTGGCCGATAAGTCGTTGACCTTTTTATACGCGTTTACAGTATGGACGCTAGTAAATAGTTTTCTTTTTTGAGCCTTTCTGCTGATATTAGTTCGAACCTTCAAGTCCTTTTAATGGAAAAGTACTTAGAACTGTGATTCAAAAAATAGATGTGATTTTGACCTATGCAGCTGTAGCAATTTATCGAGCGAAATAGTCATAGCTTTGTCATAGTAATTGACGTCATGGCATTTTTCATGCGGCATAGAAAAAATTAAAATTAACATTTTTTTAGACGATTAAATCGGGTCGGTTAAATTGACGGCGTTTAATACGAATGTCATTTCAAAATAAACTAATACTTACCTGTCAATTTGGCAGACAGTTCAGATAAATAACGAGAGTAATAAAAAAAGTACGATATTGTAAAGGCTGCGCCCTTGCTTTTGTAAAAGAAAGAAGAGAGTGATTTTTTGTTTTCGTTTTCCCTTGATCTTAAAACACCATCTCGCTTTTTATATTCTCATACTATAAACTAGCCGCACAACTGCCAAACTTCGTTATGATTCGCTTCGTTCAGTAATCTCTTCAAGATATTTTTACTGATGCAGCATTCGATCTTCTCTTGTAAAAAAGATTGTCATCTTAATTTCCATACACTCTTTGTTTCTTGACCATGCGAAGAAGAATAATTACTTAAGGAACTTAAATGACATCACATTTACTAATATCTTATTACTACTATAATCAAAATTTCGTAGTTTACGATAAGCACAAAAACTCTTGAGATTATTAATTAATGTGCATTTAAAAATTTTGAAAGCAGCGCGCAATCAGCCGTTAAATTATTTTCGTTTGTAAAAAATAGTTAAGAATGTTTGCCAATGCCGATAAATTCCATATTTTTTATGCGAAAGACGACAGGCAGACTTATGTACGTATACACTGTTTAAGAAACACTGAAATGATTGAAAAGCTTAAAAACAAAGAAGCCATGTGTTCGCCAAGCATATGTGTACGCTAGTAACAATTATACGCCCAGGTTCATTTAGGATGGAGGAAATTTTCTTATCTAATATAAAGCTATCATTACGCGATAAGCCTTTATCTACATAGGAATTCACTATACTCGTATTACAGAAAACGTGAATACCGAACTGCCGCTTAGTACAGGCGCATCAACTAAACAAATCGTGCGAAAAGCAGAGTTTCATTGTAATATGTATTTAAATCGTTAAAATATACAAAATACGACGCATTGTATATACAAATTCGTTATAAAAGAAGAAATAAGTTCATCTTGAGTAAATGCAGACATTCGCACACGAGTAGACTGACGTGAAAATGAAACAAAGAGTCGTGAGAATCATCTGTCAAGAAAGTCTGAAATGATCATCGCACCTGCTCGAAGTAGCGTAATCCATGAAACACGAAGAAACAGTAGGTTACAACGATGAAGATTACCGTTAAAACAGCAACAATATAAAACACGGAAAGACTACAGGGCTCAATCTGGAAATCAACAGGCAGTCTTTGAATACGCAATCGCCATTGGCAGAGAGAGAGAGAGAGAGTTTTAATCGTAAAACAGTGAGATGTAGTTCTCGAGATCGTTGGGCACCTCTGGTTTGTCGTCCAGTCTGGCGCTGAGCGAGTGGTATCTTCGACGCACGTGGTGTGCCACCATCTTCGGCTGTCTGTCGCGCGTGAAGATTCCCTTCTTGTTACCGCCCACTCTAGTGTAAGCTAGAACAAAGAATCGTTGGCCGATGAGAAATCGAGCGAATCGAGCGAATCGAGCGATCGAGCGGTCGCGATGGACCTACATTGGGCGGTTCGAAAGTCGGCGAAGTTCCAGATAAACTCGCCGATGAAGAAGCCCTGCGCGCGCAGCAGATCGAAAGCTTCGAAATGACGGGACATAGTTTCCATCTGGTACTCCTCGCTCCACACGTACTCCGGCAACTACAACGAGATTTTCAATGAGACATCTAGCAATGAGGCCTGATTTAGGTGCAGGAGAAGCAAGCAGGGAGCTGACGGTCGCTGAAGTAGAGTGTGCGTACCTCGTGAAGGCCGGACATAGTGTCGGCGCCGTATTCCGACATGAGCACCGGCTTGTTGTACTTGGTGTGCCAGGTTTGGGCCTCTTTGATAACGCGACTGGTTATCATGTCGAGCCGGCCGGTATTCGAATACCAGGCGTTGTACCGATTGAAACTAATCACGTCCACGTACGGGCCTGCCTTATCCTCCTACGGAGATGCCCGTGTTTCAAACGTGACCATCGTGCTCGTTGGCGCGTTGCCGGACTTACCAAGACGCCGCGGGCGAACGCGAGGGTCACCGCCCTCGAGGGGTCGAGCGTTCTCGTGTGACGAGCCACTTTCTCGAAGTAATCCCCGGCGTTGGCGAGCTGCGTTCTCGGTTCGTTGGCAATCGACCACATTACGACCGACGGTCGATTTTTGTCACGGCGAATCAGTTCCGACAGAGATTGCTTGTGCTTCTTCAGCAGGGCTGCTGAAAAGTTTTCCGTGTCCACCGACGGGCATTCGTCGATGATCATTATACCCATTCTGTCGACCAACAAAACATTCGTGAGTCACTTGTACGAGCGACGTTATCATTAAAAGAGGATTTGTCAGTGGGAAGGGACAAAGGTTACGGAACAAGAAGTGAAAATATAAAATTGCTCGTCTTCAGAAAAATCGAAATAAATACCATACAAGACCAGTGACGTACGGTTAAAAACAAGAAACTATTGGTAGGAAGAAACTATTAGTTGGCCAGCCCTGAAGAAAAGAGCAATTGCACGTTTTGCGTAGGAAATTGAAGAACTAACTTATCAGCGTGATCGAGAACTTCGTCGCTGTAGGGATAATGGCTGGTCCGGTAGGAGTTGGCGCCGACCCACTTGAGAAGCTCGTAGTCGCGCGCAGTGGTGACCAAGTCCAAGCCACGGCCTCTAATCGCCGAATCCTCGTGTCTGCCAAAGCCGCGGAAGTAGACCGGCTTGTCGTTGATCAGGAAAGACGCGTTGGTCCATTTCAAGCTTCTGATGCCCACCGGCAAACGATAGACATCTGGCTCGGTTACGTTTGGTACCAAAACCATTATCTGCGCTCGAAATCCATTTATTTCAACTTTTGTTCATGCAATTCTACGAAATGTGCCTCTCTTCGAGACAATTTCATCAAGTCTTCGCATCTTTAGCGAATCATAATGCACACTCTTGATTTTTTTACTTTATCATTTCAAGAGAGGTTGTCAGCCCAAAAATCATTAGATGCATACTTGTGACACCATTTTATGCCTCAAGCAGTGTCGACGTCGATAAAAAATCTCAATTTTTATAAATATTTTTATGGTTTTTTCTTCATGGAATTTTACTGAATTTAAAGTTGAATTTCAGAAAACATCGCCCCTTTTTTTTTAAATTTCAGTTTTTGCTGAGCTTTGAAAATGAGTTTTTGCGCACTATTCCGGCTCTTAAAATTTCAAGAAAATAAACCAAAATAGAATGCGCAAGCATCATTTGTCATTTTTCGTGAAAACTCGGAAAAGCAACTGCTATGGGCAAAAAGAAGTGTCACAACTATGTAACAAACTCAAGTATTTTCAAACCATTCAATGAAATAACGACATCCAAAAACCAAGAGTGAACCTGGTTGAATAGAAACAGAGATTTTGCGGGATTCCTCGTATATTTGTTCGATTGAGCCAAGTAGATCAATGAAATAAACGCTAGTCGCACCTCCAAAGTGTACATGTAGCCAGGATCCTTGCTCATCGATCTTGGCCACCACAGCCGTGGCGACGCGACCCTTATCGTTCCCTGAGTCCCAACGTAAGGTCCGTTAACGGCGTATTGATTGACATTGTCGAGTAGATTCACTTGGCAGTACGGTATTTCCTTGTCGCGTAGCCCCGCGATGTCGATGCTGTATTTCAATAAGCCAACTCCGCTCTTCAGGCTTGTGTTCACGTTCACGTCGACGATGTAGACTCGCGGCTTCGTGTGCAATAATACTGGTCTGCAAGTTATTTCGGTTGATCGAAATTACCGTCTATACTCAAAATATATTTCACACAATGTGTAAGTAGTTTGGATCCACAGCTAATAGTAGGTAAAAGGAATAATCACCTGTGTATGCCGGCGTAGTTGAAGAAATCGAAGGTGTAGCTTTGTATCTTGACAGTGCCATTGTCAGCATCGGTATCAGTGACTGTGCCTTGAGGCACGCTAGTTTGAATAAGCATGTTATCCACGGCTACGGTCACACGATTTTCCTCACCGTACAAGACCGACGTTGTAATTTCCACTTCGAAGGGCAAATGGCCCATTTCGTGGTTGGTCATTAGATCCCCGTTTAACCACTGCGCAACAATTGTTTTACTCTTAGCAGTACGAACTCGGCGAACAAATAACAAGCAATATGTTTGATGTTTCCTTGTGTCAACCAGAAATTAGCTTTTCGAATCATTGGACGCAAGATGAAAACACAAAACAGCGCGTGCGCTAAGGTCAAGGTGCCGTATAATATACCGACCACTTCAGCAAGGTAATTGACGGATCCAAAGCGCAAGAAGACACGTTTGCTCCTCCAGGAGGCCGGCACAAAGAAGCTCCTCTCGTACCAGACTGGACCGACGTGATCTCGAAGCGCTCGCGACGTGGTGATGTCGTTGTAGGACGATGGCACGGGCATCTTCATCACCTCGGTCATCTGCGCGACAAGACCGTGATTAGCTCACAGCTTCGGATAGGCCGAGCGAGCTCCGGCGAGCGTACACGTTACCTTAGACAAGCGACTGGCGAACCACTTCTCGCGATGTCCTTGATGCACGTCATTGCTCGGCGGCACCGCAAAGTCCCAAAAGCCGTCCAGCGATTTGACCTGATCGACAACGCGTTGAGAATTGACTGATCTTTCACGTCCGAATCCTTCGTAGGTGAACGATGCGATGACTCACCTCGCGGGACTCACTTTCCCTGGGATAAAGAAGACCAGGTAGCGCTGGCACCGACTCCTCGGCGATGTCGCTGATCACGAAAGTCTCGTCGACGGCCTCGTCGAATCTCTCCTCGCCTTCGCTCTGTTTCGCCGCCACGGCAACGAGGGCCACGGCAACGAGCGTCCAAAACTTCAGCAACCACATTCTTTCTTTTCGCCACACGATCGAATTGCCACCTACAACGAATCCCAGTATTCGGATCACGAAATCACGATAATCTGACTTTCTTATTTGTCTCGGATAAAACCTGTACTTTTCGAATTCCAGGGAAAGGAGTTGAATATTTCATAGGTCTGAATGGTCGATCGAGTAGCTTTTGTCGCTAACGGAACTTTATTTAACGATATCAGAGTCAGTATGCTTCGTAATGTACCTCTTTTAATACAAGCGATTTTCTTTGTGTGCGCATCGCGTTAATTTTGATCCAATGCGTCCTATGCAGCTGTTCTCATAATCAATGAACATTCTAATGTTTGATCATTTCTTATATACGCGTAATGTGTTATTAGCATCAAAGGCTCAAGAATATCAGAATTTGCACGTTTCAACTATAAAAAACGTTGCTTTTTCTTCGACAATGTGCAATGGCAACGGCGATTGCGGTCGAGTTCAAGCCCGATAAAAAAAGCCCTTTCGTTCATTTAAGAACGAAGGCACTCGAAATCTTCGAGGCGAGTCGTCGCTCGAGGCCGCTCACATAGAGCAACAGGTGCAACTAATTTTGCGAACGTGATATCTCGAGTTGACAACAGTAATTTTCGTTTGACATACACCTACACGCGGCGCTTTAATATCGATCATTTAACGGCATGCTCCTTTCCCCTAACCGACACGATGGTGGAAAACCGACGACAATGTCCATATCTTTACGACCTATTAACACATATAACAATCATTATTTTACGGCTATCAACGAAGAGACATTGGCATTGTTGTATAGAGACGTAAAAAACAAGCGAGGACGTAAAACAAGTAATGACACATACATTGCTCATTGCGGAATTTAAACGCACGCGATTCTGATAAAACAAGTGTATAATGAATTAAATATAACGTGAATGAAACGAAGTGGTTTTTTTTCTTTGTGAACTTTCTCGATCGTAACGAGCAATTTTGGACAATTTCATCGGAATAATAGTTCGCAAGTAACGTAAGTGTAACAAGAAGAATATAAGAATATAAGAACACGAGACATCTTTACGAAGTAAAATTTTCATCTAATTTGCACCTGACACGCAACGTAGGTCGTTGCCCGTTAATATGCACTGGACAATCGATAGAGGCATGCATCTACCTAAGAACATAATTTCCTGGACGGTTCGACTGTCTCGATATAGGCACGGTTAAACGACAGTTTCGTCAACCAATGTGCGAATTAAATTAAATTTTTTACTTCAATTAGAGAAAGAGGTTTTTTCAAAGAGCTAAACAGACGTGTAGCCTGCTTAAGTTTTTCAAAGCGTATACATCAGCAATCCAATGGCTTCGTATGCCAAATCAATTAAAAATTATCAACTAACGACGTTCGACGTATTAAGCTGTTAAGGGCCCGAGGCCAACTTTTCCTTGTTACACGTTACAGTCGCACGAGTAACAGTGTTTAATGAAAATTGAGCAGAAGGCTTTTGAAAGTTGCGACGCTAAATGAGCAAAGAACTCAAGCGAAGAACGAATTGCCGCGGATTCGCGGCCGCGGAAACGTAAAACGCTCGTGGCACGAGAGAGAAGCAGAGACTTACGATGTACGAGTCGTCGGCGAGTAAGGGACCGAGGACGAAGCAGCGAGTTAGTGCAGCCGCGATGAGTGTCCGTCTGGGCCGGCGGCTCGCGTAAAACTGTGGCAGGGCGTCGCGTCGCGCGGAGCTTAAACAAAAGTCGTCGGTTAGGCGATAGCGATCGCGAGCCGGCGCTCGCGTCTTATCTCCGATCCGATACAATCGATTAGAGCAAATGCCATTCGCCGAGACGCGTAATTGGTCGAAATTAGGTTTGCTAATGTCGCCTAATGTTCGTTAAAGGAGTGAGAGGGAGAGAGAGAGAGAGAGAGAGGCGGAACGATTGATCAATCCCGTCGACGCACGCGCTCGTTTGTCCAAATCGACGCCCGGCATCCGCGTTTCACGCGCCATACCCGTATACTTGTGCAAGCTGGAGGCAGCCGTGGCATTGTTTTCCGCGATTCGCTGTTTCCATAATGCGCGCGACTGCCAGTTAACGATTTTGTGCATTTTTAAACGGCTCCCGGTGGAATGCTCCGACTGTTTTTCTCTACGTCTAACTCGATGCTGCGATTTCGAATGCTCGTGGGTCGAACAGAACGTACCCGCAAGTTGATTACGCATGTTTCAAATAGCGACAATACGCGGAATGTTTTCATTTATGTTCTATTGCATTTATTGCCATGTTGACAGAAAGGACGTGACGTGTCAAAATATACATAGCGATATCTTATCTTGGCGTGCAAGACGCGATAAAGATCTCGAACGCAAAAATAAGGAAAAATTAATCAGACTAGTGTGCATTTTGTCATTAGCCTTTGCCCGCAGAAATGCTGACCAAATATTTGCAAGGCCCTCCTTTCTCCGGTCCAAGATTTCCCACGACAATGCGCAGCGCGGCTAAAGGAGGAAGAGGGAGAGGCCAATCGGGCGAGATCGCGTGGAATCCGCACCGATCCATTGACTCTGAAATTCTAATTCCGCGCTCGCGGTGCACGTGTCTGCAAAGTCAATTCGAAGATTCGTCGAAGCGCGTTGATCCCGCATCGCGCCAGCGTAGGTCGTCCTCCGCCGCAGACGTCATTCAGCCCCGCACAGGGTGGCGCAGCCGGGAGAAAAACAAAGCCAGTTGGCGAATCGAACGCGCCGGTGACGAAGGGATGCGGTATGCAAACGACGTCCGACACTCTCGGCGACGCGCGTCTCGTCTGGCGGTTAATTGCAGCGATCGCTGGCTCCGATTGTATCTCCGTCGCAACAAGCGGCAGCTCACGTCGTACCGATACGCGAAAGCGAAACTTACCGAAAGAGATGCCGGTTATCTCGTACATACATCCGAGCAAGCGCGCGTTTATCCTGAAATGGCGCGAGCATGTGCCAGCGCGAGATATTAGCGGTGGCAGCCGGTACAACATTCTATTGTCTAGTCGTTACAGATGCTCACTTTTCTGTGCGTGTCTGTTAAGAAACGACTTTAAGATGCTTACCTCTCTGTCGATCGAAATTCAAACCATCAGCACTGAATTCGAATCGATTATCGTCGCTCTTTATTATTTCAAATTCTTATCAAATCACAAAGCTGCTCGAAAAGATAGCTGCACCGCGAGATCGCACGTAGCAATGCGAGCCACAGTCATAAAAGATCCTATTATTTGACGAACGTAAAGTCTCTTGCGTAAATATTTCAGCGAGCAATCATCCGTAAGAATGCAGCACGAGTACACGGAGCAGCTCTCAATCTCTCTGAGCTGAGCGTGCTCCCGTCATTACGTCTTTGCAATTACATGTCATTCACTCGTGCGCGTACTCAGAATTCGACGTTAACGTAAGGATGCTTTAAAATTCAAACGTTCGTCGAATGTTAAGCAACAATTTTATTTGAATTTTTCATTATTCATAAATCAATGTCGCTTGGCGAACGTTTCACGAGGACAAATCGTCATTGTATTTTGTTTTCAAATAATACCTTCATTTATCATCAATATGTAATAATCGCAGATCTTCAGTTATCGATAATCTACATTATTGATTTAAATAGTAATTCGAATTCATAAATAATACAACGACTGACACTTTTATGTTTCTAATACAGTACAGCATGTATCTACAAATACAACGATACATTTTTTATTACATACAACTTTTTTCAATATTATTTAGTAATATAATTGATTTTTGTACACATTTCAACATTTATAATTATATTCACTAGATATCAGTAAAAAAATATTTTTGCAATATTTTTTTAAATTTAATATCAAGATATGAGTGCTATCAACTAATTAAATTACGATTACAATGGATATCTGGAATTAGAGAATAGCATTTTGATGAGTACTGTCACTAGTAATATCCTTTCAATTGCCATAATTGTAACAGCATCACTTGTATCATAGTTATAAAATAACCTACAAGTTTGATCGACAATATCTATTTGATATGTGACAAATACATTATTATTATTTCCACAACAATTACGAGAATTCAAACGCCGTTACAAATAATTCTGATGTTCGCGATCTACGTTAATCAACTATCTTTTCTAAATCTAAATCGAGACGTTAATATTTCTATGAACGAAATTGTTTCTTACGGCTTTTATTAGTAATAAACAAGATAAGGCTATTTTTGAAAATCGTAAGAAATAAACTTACATACCCGTTTATCCTATGTGCACATCTTAAATAAATCATTTTAAGCAAAGCTAAAAGTGAACTAAGCGTTGTCGATCTTCTCGAACATTGTACATTCCAAGGCATTTTCTTGTCTTACAATCGTATCTTACATGCTAATGGAATAAAACATCGTACTCGAAAATATACTTTTTAAGGTCATTTGGGGTTACAGTCTTCGTATCCAATTCTTTACCCAGTGCATAATACCTCTTACGTACATGATGGGCTGCCATCTTTGGCTGCCTGTCACGAGTGAAAATTCCTTTCTTGTTGCCATCAACTCGGTGATACTCTACAATTTACGGTCTTTAGCGTACGTTTTCACCAAAAGAGGCAAGTATTAACTTCTCGATGGTTAACTTACTTTGAGAAGTTTTGAAATCGGCAAAGTTCCAGATGAACTCGCCGACGAAGAAGCCCTGAGCGCGCAGTTTATCGAAAGCTTCGAAGTGACGAGACATCGTCTCCATCTGGTACTCCTCGCTCCACACGTACTCCGGCAGCTCCGAACGAAAGCAGATTTACCGTAACGAAGAGCACACGAAGCGACGGGAAAAGAAAACCGATGGCCAACTTACCTCGTGAAGGCCGGGCATAGTGTCGGCGCCGTATTCTGACATAAGCACAGGTTTTTCGTACTTGGCGTGCCAAGATTGGGCCTCCTTGACAACTCGATTCGTTATCATGTCGAGTCTGCCAGTGTTCTGGTACCAGCCGTTGTATCTATTGAAACTTATGACGTCCACGTATGCGCCTGCCTTATCTTCCTGTCGGACCGCGTACATGTTTGACGTTTCAGTGGGTGATGACTACGAGAAAAAGCCCGCTCCAAAAACTTACAGCGACTTCGCGGTTGAGCGATGTGGTGATGGGTCTCGTTGGATCGAGGGTCTTGGTGTGGTGAGCGATCTTTTTGAAATAGCCCCCGGCGTTGGGAAGCTGAGTTCTCGGCTCGTTGGCGATCGACCACATGACGACCGACGGTCGATTTTTATCCCTTCGGATGAGTTCCGACAGAGCTTGTTTGTGTTTCTTCAGCAACGTGGTTGAAAAGTTGTCGGTGTTTGCTGATGGGCACTCGTCGATGATCATAAAGCCCATTCTACGATAAAAAGAAAGCATCGGGCGTGCATTTTTTAATGGTGCCACCGAGCGATCGACAATAAAGCCAAACCGACTTGTCGGCGTGATCGAGAACTTCGTCGCTGTAGGGATAATGGCTGGTCCGGTAGGAGTTGGCGCCGACCCACTTGAGAAGCTCGTAGTCGCGCGCAGTGGTGACCAAGTCCAAGCCACGGCCTCTAATCGCCGAATCCTCGTGTCTGCCAAAGCCACGGAAGTATATGGGTTTGTCGTTGATCAAAAACGACGCGTTGGTCCATTTCAAGCTTCTAATTCCTACGGGTAGGCGGTAGATATCCGGCTCGGTTACGTTCGGCCCAACGACTTTTACCTGCAGACAATCATAAGCTTGCTTGTCCAAACGAACGCTGTCGTTAGCCTTTCAAGAGATGGCGCACCTCTAAATTGTACATATATCCAGTCTCCGTGCTCATAAATCTCGGCCACCAAAGTCGCGGCGACGCGAGTTTTATCGTTCCCTCGGTACCGACCAAAGGTCCGGCAACGACATGCTCGCTGTCCTTATCGAGCAAGTTTACTTGACAGAATGGGTTTTCGTGACTGTGCCCGGCGATCACGACGCTGTATTTGAGCACGCCAACAGCGCTGTCCAGTCCTGTGCTCACGGTTATGTCCTCGACGAAAACGTCTGGCTTCGTGTGCAACAGTACCGGTCTGAAATCGTTTGTAGATCGTCAGCTCTCGTAGCAGCAACTCATTGAAAGGACATGCAATTCACCTGTGTATACCGGCATAATTGAAGAAATCGAAAGTGTAAGTCTGCAGCTTAACGGTGCCATTGTCAGTGGACGCATTGACGACTGAGCCTTGGGGCACGCTCGTCTGAACGAGAGTGTTGTCCACGGCTACGGTCACGCGATTCTCTTCGCCGTACAAGGCCGTCGACGTGATTTCGGCTTCGAATGGCAGATGGCCGATTTCGTGTCTTACGATGAACTTGCCGTTCAGCCACTAATCCATGCGCTTGGTTTAGTCAACATTTCCATTTCGACGCGATGCACAACTCTGAAGATAATAAAACTCACCACTTCGGCTAAATAATTGACGGATCCAAATCGCACGAACACTCGCTTGCTCCTCCAGGATGCCGGCACGAAGAAGCTCCTCTCGTACCAGACTGGACCGACGTGATCTCGAAGCACTCGCGACGTGGTGATGTCGTTGTAGGACGATGGCACGGGCATCTTCATCACCTCGGCCACCTGCGCGACAAAATCGTGACGAACTTGCAACGTCAGACAAGCCGAGCGAGCCGCTCGGCGAACACACAGGCTACCTTTGACAAGCGGCTGGCGAACCACTTCTCGCGGTGTCCCTTGTGCGCGTCATCGCTTGGTGGTAGCGCAAAGTCCCAAAAACCATCCAAAGATTTGACCTGATCCCAGTAGTAGGTATATTTACATGAGCGTAGGCCAGAGGGCACTTTGTGCGTTACTTTGTTGTAGCCACTTACCTCGCGCGATTCGCTTTCTCTCGGGTACAGCAGACCTGGCAAAGCTTGCGTTGATTTTTCGGAGATGGTACTAGTTGCCAATCTCGCCTCGGTCGTGGGATCCTCGTCGTCGTTTCTACGGGCGTTTATTGAACCGATCGATACCAGAGAAAGACACCAAATAATTTGCCACCGCATTCTGCTCATCTAGCGAAACAGTTTTCTTGTTGTTGAACAATGGTACTATTTTGACGACGCGTCGAATGCCTTGTAAGAAGCGTTCGCGAAGATACACGACGTATACGCTACGCTATTGTTTTACTACTGAGCCAGAACTAGGATCGAGACTATAGAGAAATTCACCAACAAAAACCAACCAGCTCTATCCGTTTAAATTCATCTACATTTATAAAGAATGTAGGATTTTATGTTGATCGATTGGATCGATCGTCTGCATTCTTCAAGTATTAAATTACAAGATTGCGTTTGTCTTCGCGGTGCTCAACCGGACGGAACCTCCGTGTACGTAGCGGCGTTACGTGCGCATGCCGCAATAAATCGTTCCAAGCGAAGATAGCGATCGCGATAAATTCTTCTCGATCGGTGTAAATCAGGCGATTTGAAACAGTAGAGTTGTCGATTTATCGGCACCAAAATTTAAAGTCAAAAGGCCGATCCGAGAAGCGATTCCACAGCTTTATAATTGGATAACTTGTAGGCGGAAGCCGATGATGATAATGCTGTTACGACAGTAATGGAAAGAATTATTTCTTATTACGAATCCACTGTTGCGCTTGAAAGAGAGCGATAGATGGTTGTGTTTTGGAATTTAGGCGGTGACGCGAGTATCCGCAAGCTCCCGTGTTCAATTTGAAACTCATTAAACCGTTGATCTCAATAATGGCTTGGAACCGCTTATGTAAGTCGGTACAGCTCGTTTCATCGCACGCGTCGAGCAATTAATTGCCACAAATATACAGGGTGACACTACGTCGTTGTTGCACTGCTTCGTTCACAGCGCTCGGCGTTTCATTCATCGCGTTATAATTTGCATGACCGTAGCGCAAAACGAGACAAGTACGTGCGTCCTTGTGATTATATAGTTGACGGTAATTACTGGCTACGCGAACGCCTCCGTTGCAATAATTGACGCGTGTGCCCGATCCGATCCCAGACGACACATATGGATGCTAATGCGCTCAACGAGCAAGCGCGGTCCTTCGTAAGGAACAGCGCGTAAATGGATCGGAATGAACCGATCTTAGGGCAACGTAGACGAACAACTCACCCGTTATACTCGGCCTATATTTCTTTAACGAGCGCCGCCGCAGGCGCGCACGGACATTCTTCTCGCTTGCGTTGCTCTGTGCGCCAGCTCTGCCGAGGGAAACGCCACTGCATCACTCCCGATGTCGCGTGCGCGCGAAAACTTTATTCCGAAAATCGTTCTAGTCGCGCGCAAGCTGCATCTTTCCTCCGTTGTGCGTTGGCGTGCCGGCGCCCGGTCCCGCACGCGCGACCACTGCATGCCAGCGTCAGTCCGCGTTGTAGATGTGCCCGCGCCGCTGGGGCTCGCCAGCGCTCGTCTACTTTTGCTGTCGCGTCCGTAATGGTTTTGCGCCCGGAAGCTCGTCTGTCGTGGCTGTCCCTTTGTCTCGGATCGACGTTGTTGCGATCGCTTCTGGCAACGCAAAACAGCTTCATCGGATTATAAAGTAGAACGGTTCGCCGTCTGACCTAGGTCCCGTTACTTTTTCGAATGTAACCTTTTCGCACTGCGCCGACTTATATTCACACTTCCTATAAAAAGCTTTTATGTCACAGGACTGCACTCTATAACAGTGTGTTTGTCAAAATTAATCATTTTTAATATAGAGTTTCCAGAACGCATATTTGCTCCCATTTTTTACGCCCTTCGCGCAAAACTCGCCATGTTCTTCTAATTACGTCAACATAGGTCATATCATTCGAATCTTATCTAATGTGCAACACTATTTAATAACAATAATCTTGTGTGATATATTTTACGAAATATTATCGCAATTTACGTGGGTTTAAGTACATCAAAATACGAAGATTTCATTAATACACTCCAGGAGTTTTCCTGTGTACCTTTTCACACAAATTTTTACCAATTCTTTTCAGAAAAATAATTGTTTTTCATTATGATCTAATAGCAAGCGGTGTAAAAAGAACGTTCGTTGTCTACATTTTGAAAGTCACATTGTGTACCGTCAAGTGGCGCCTAGACTCGGCAACTGCAGTAAGTGTTACGGAGTCGATCCACTAGCATTCTACCTTACCCATAATCGCAGCTCCCGTATGCTTTTTCGGATTGTAAACCTAATTTTAACGTGATTTTCGTTTACTATAAAGAAAGTTCTGTCGGGTGGAAACAGATTAGCGTATTCACATATAATACGAATTCCGAATATTAAATTTGATCTTTATAAGAAAAGCTAATGCGATTCTCTTCTAATTAAGTTTCACTCCAAACAAATTTAAACGAATGAATTTTGCAAAACACTCGCTAGACTGAACTTTTGCTTGCACGATGTTCAAAGTATTTACTAAATCATCAAAATGACATATTATATATTATCTTAAAATTTAACTGCAATATATACTAGTTTCAGTAGTTATTAGTTAGATCCAAGACTCGTAGAAACTTGTTCTAATCAAGGAAAGCTAAAAAATGTTGCAGACATAGGCGTAGAGATGTGTTACTTTTAATGCATTTTGCCATTTTTTTTTACGTTGAATATGCCAAACTTCCAACATATAGCTGCAAAAAAAACTAAATATTCGCTCAATTACGATAATAATGAAGTTCGTGTAACAATATACGAATGTAAATGTATCATTGACATTCTGGAATCGATGGAATTAATCTTCTTCGCATTATAGACATGCGAACCAAAGTCCAGCACATTATAACATAAATGTTACGGTCATGCACAGGCGTATTTTTACAGTTCATGTAAATGATGCAAATGTTTTCTGAGCGATAAACGTAAAACTCAGATGATGCATGCCCTCTAATTTATGATTTGCTGATCTATTTTATACAAAATACCATCTTCTTGTCGTAACTCCATGGCTTCTATAAAAGCATATCATCGACAAGTCAATGCGGCTACTAATGTGTCTGCATTTATAAGTATATTGTCCACGTTTTTGAGTCGAAAAACTAACGTTCTTCAATGTTATAATACAACTTGTACTCGATGTTTGCTGTGAATAAAGGGAAAATAAAGGAAAGCGTAGTGAAGCCGTGAAACTTGAATGAAGGTGAAAAGTAGTCAAAGAGGAAATTTTTTATATAGAAAACATGAAATTGCTGAAAGTGTAGAGTTTAGTGGAAGCTTAGATTTTTCCATATCGATCGCCGAGATATACAAACTTAAAAATCGAAAAAGAATTGTTAGATAATTTTTGAGGTGAATGATCTAATTTCTGCTTTAGGAATACGATAAGTTAACACCCTCGCATTTTATGTACGTTGATTAATTGAATGAATTTGGCATACTCGACAAGAATATACTGAAGTGCATCTTTATTGCATGAGAATTGCGTCTGTTTTACTTTGTATGAATGGTGTAAATTAACAATAAATTATTTAAAAAATGGTTAAAAGACCCGTTACCAATGAATATTAGAGTTCTACGTGTATTAATTCATTTTTATAAGCTATTATTGTATCAAGTAAGCGAAGTGACAAAAAAGAAATCCAATTTCCGTCGTTGCAGTGCATAAACATTTAAGCTAATTTGTTGGAGCTCGCGCTTTATATTATTGTGTGTCGCGCGTGGATGTCGCCCGAAAGTCTTTTGGCGCGCCGCCGTATGACGATTTATAAAGCCACAAACGTGCCGACGACTAATACAGTGCATACTTGACACGAGTAACAGTCGCGGCCCTTTTCCACAGTGATAGTGCAGCTGGTAGCCGGTACTCGTCAATTTTTTATTATTTTTTTTTTATTCGACTACCTATAAGTGCTTTTCTTCGAGTTCGTGTTAGGTTTGTTGTTGAATGTTTATATGGTTTTTTTTTTATAGAAGACGTCAAACCGAGTGATTCTTGAAAATATTGAATAAAAAGCAGTACCTAGAACGTGAAATTTGTCCTTGTTTTTCTTAACAGATGCGCTTTTTCACGCAAAACTATTTGCACGAAGTGAGGTGAAAACTTGCAATGCTCTTTTGCGAATAACTTAAGCTTCTCTTTGATAAGTTATTTATTGAAAACTGTAAAATTATATTGTAAATAAAATCTTGATAATTATTTTTACGTTGGCTTATGTGTGAGACCGTTGCAGAAAGCAGATTCGTTCTCAATCTTTGCGTCCTTGACACGCACCTCATCATGTCAATGCGATCACACGCGCTCACTTGACCGGGATTAAATGCTTACATTGTATTCATTGTAACTGAACTTCTCGTCGCATTTTTCTTTCAAATATACAAAGATCTATTTATATTTTATTTTAAAAAGTATGTATTTCAAATCAGACTATTTTTTAAACTTCATTATTATTCATTAAATGATTGATACCGTTAACATTTAGTTTAAAAACTGTGGATCATTTGTCTCACATAAAGCGTTCAGGCAGTCACATCTTTCAACGGCTACCAAATAACAAATAGTTCATATTTATCATAATAAATTATTAATAAAATGACATCAACGTTTTCATGTTTGAATAATATTGTAAAATTTATAAAATTGAACACCGTGAAGTGACGCCAAGCTCGACTAGTGCGACAAGTTCATTTCAAAGCTAATTAGCCGATCTAATAGCATGCTACCTCATCCATAATCGTGATTTGAATGTAAAATTTTTTCATCGGATATGTTTAAATCTTTACTATTTTCATGCGTGAGAAATTTTGTTCCTAGTTAACTCGGAACATATAGTTAAGTAGTATTCCATTTTTCAAAATCGTTTTAGCATTCGCAAAATGCTCGTTTTTTAATTTAGGTCTATTTCTGTGATATCTATAGCTAAATTTACAAGATTCTTAAAGATGCACTGGCATTGGACATTCCATTCAGGACTTTTTCTCCATTTTTTAGTTACAGAAGTACTTTCGACGCAGAAAACTGCAAATTATTATGTAAGTAACTGATTGAATAATAATATTATTATAAAATTCTATCGAAAAAACATAATTGTAATGGCAGCACTATAAAAATTTGTTAGCTTATAGTTATTGGATTCTAAGTGGGTAATTTTGTTTAAATCTAGTACTTGAAGATTTTAAATGACAATCTAGTCTTGAGTGAAAATACATCCCATTGGAGACGGCAAATTGGTAATTACGAGGATACCGCTAGAACCCCAGTAGAAGTAGTGATGACATCCACCTGCACTTTTGATCAACAAGAAGAAAGTAAAGGCTGAACTTTATTGAACCGTTAAAATTTGAAATTAAACAATGATATTTTCTCTACAGATGAGCAATGCCTGATTAACATAAAAATGCTCGGTTTCGATCATGCTTTAATACTAAACTCATCCGATAATACGAAACTAATTTTACCCGACAACGACGGCAACATCAAGTTCAATCAAAACGAAACGGTGTTTTTATCTTGTCCCGATGATAACAATTCGTTCAGAAGCCTATCCGAGTCTCGTCCGTTTCGGAACTTCACCTGCCTGTGCGGCAGTGCCTTCAGCACCGAAGACACAATATACGATTTTCAAGAGCTCAGTTGTAAATTGCAAGCAAAGTACAAAATCATCGACAAAGGATTTTACGGGCGCGAGAGCGAGTACCGAAAGTTCGAGATCGGATTCTATACTAAGCTGAGGAGTCAGTTTCTCACACTCGTGGAAATTCATTACGATAGATCTAGTATGTCGACGATGTACGCGAAGTCGACGGTATCAAGGTACATCGCTGGAAGACAAAAGCCTGCCAAGCCACTCGGCTACGATCAAACTCATTGTTGCGAGCGACAGAGGAACAAGCTGGATATGGATGTCATTTACGATGCTAAAACTCAAGATCGGAGTTTCGCTGCGCAACTTTACTGCCACGACAGTGCTTTTCAAACGGTACTTGCAGCTTATCCTACTTTTCTTTCATATGAAGCTTTCAAAAAGTTTCATGTAACATCAATTGAATATGTCTTCAGAAATGCTCTTACTTGGACGTATCCTCGGCGATTATCTTCAATCCCGCACAGCTGACACCAAGAAACAGCTTTGTGTACGCCTCGGCTGGCTCAGCGACTTTCGTCTACCTCAATACCGCACCTCAATGGCGCCCAATCAATGAGGGCAATTGGGCGCGAATCGAAGACTATGTTGTGGAAATGGCCAAGGAATTTGGCAAAGATTTGGTCGTATATACAGGTATTCACGACCGACTAAGTCTGAATGACACCGGTGATGGGAACAAAATGAAAATGATGTTCTTATACGCCGCTGAGAATAGCGAGAAGGCCATTCCTATTCCATTGTACTTCTGAAAGATTGTCTACGAGCCTGCAAGCAAGAAAGGTGTGGTTTACGTAACAGTGAATAATATTTACATCGATAGAGTAGAAGATTATCACTTGTGCGAGAAACCCATGTTCACGAAAGACGGCGTACAAATGCCAAAACAATGGAAACCAAAAAATCTGGCCAAAGGTTACAGTTACATGTGCGAAGTGCCTGATTTTATTCGAAGTACCGGTGCTATTACGTTCCATGGTTTTTCACCTGCCGTTATAACAGATTTACTCTATTTAGTGAAAAAATAATTGTTTCAGAATGACTTTTCATTCTACAAGACTGTCACCAATTTTTTAGGCAATAGAT